TCCAGATTACCTAAAGCCATCCTAAAGAGGTAGGATTAACAAATTTGTTATCACCATTGGACATCCAACAACCAACAGTAGTTGACCCCCACACAAAAGCACTTGCGAAGGACCAGCCATCCACTTTGAAGGAAAGGCCAGCAGAGCCCTCTGAACACCTGATGCCTCCTCAGCCCTTAATTATTCATAGTAAGGCTTTTCCCTTCCAAAGCTATGCTCCACTAAAAATGCTGATGTTACTTGGCTCCAAAGCTTGATGCATGGCTCATTCTTGTTCTCTGATAAATGGGAACACTAATGCAGATCCGGGGAGCTAAGCTGCAGCAAGGTCTTTCCTGAGATTTGTTGAAGGTGCTGAGTCTCTGGAGACAGAAATTTACCTTGGAAATTCCCCTTGGGGATCATCCAAGGGATGTTCAGGCTCTGGTCTACTCACCATGGCCTTTTTCACAGGGGAGGAAGGAGGAGGAATGAGCCACATTAAAGGTTATGCAAGCTTCAAATAAAACAGTGTTTATTCTCTGATGTAAAGGACCACTGGGGAGATCTGCAGGCCCTGGTAAAAAGCACAGTCCTAGTTTAATCAAAAGATGCACAAAGCACCCAGCTAAAGCCTGAGGAAGGTGCACTTAAGCCTTTGTTGGCAAAGGAAGCACCAAGAGACTGAGGATCTATTCCGACAGCAAACACCAGCTATATGTTAGCTTTGCTGCCTGTGTATGTCCAGCACATATCATCTGAAGAGGGACACAGATTTACATCCCTCCAGCTGAAGGGAAGAAGATAGGGAAAATAAAATCATGAAAAGAGCTTGCTGGAGTGTTACACCTTTCTTTGCAGGGAAAATACCAACTGCTCTCTCAGTGTCCAAGCTTCTCAGCTTTACTAAGTGTTTCCCAGGGAGGTCTCAGCATGATGGTGAGAAGAAAAAGCCTCAGGGCCTCAGGACTGAGGTTATCAATAAGACTGTAAGAAACCACAGTCCTGCCTCCAGCCCATGGTCACTTCTCCCACCACACACAGAACGGTCCACCTCACTATTCCTTTTAATTCTCATCTCCAGTGGCATAGATGAGAATTGCTCCAAATCCATTTTATAGAGGCATTTGTTGAGGAAATACCAGCCAAGACTCTATTAATTATTCCAGGGAAAGATTTGGCTCGAATCAAAGGTCAGGAGTCTGCAATCCAGCAATATTTGTGAGGTGTGATTAACATGGGGCTATTACACTCAAGCTAATTTAAAAAGAAACATGGAAGGGACAGAGCAGGCCATGCAATAACTTTACTGTAGGGAGTCAATGGGCACAGCTGCACTGGCACCATGAGGTGTTTCTGCACCATCACATAAAGCTGCAACCTCCCAGGGGGACACGAAGGGCCGTGCAACACCTGCTCACACCCATAAGCTTGAGGGGCACTCACCAGTATTGTGGTTGGATACGAGGGAAACAGAATCTGCTCCAGGCTCTCAGACACCCCAGTGCCAAAGACCCAGGAGAGCTGATCACCTCACCACTCAAAGCTGGGGGTTGGCAGGTGTTTTCTAGGAGATCTTTCAGCAGCTTATTTTGGAGGAAATACTGGGGGCAGGTTTCCTTCTTGCACTAGGTTTCTTTGAGACCTACTTGGCTTTGCTCACCTCCCTAAGGAGGGATGGCTCTTGTAACCAGCCTGGAAAGTGCAATTGCCTGGGGAATAAGTGAGGTGTGATGGTCGGGATGATTTTTCCCTGCTGTAATGTACTTTGGGAGTGCAGAGAAAATGAAAGGGGAAAGGGGAAAGGGGAAAGAGGAAAGGGGAAAGGGGAAAAGGGAAAGGGGAAAAGGGAAAGGGGAAAGGAGAAAGGGGAAAGGGGAAAGGGGAAAGGGGAAAGGGAACTCCATTGCAAATGCAAACAGAATAAACCAAAAACTCCTAGAAGAACCAAACCAGGGAGCTGCCCCCTTCCTGAAACAGCTCTTGTTCCCTCCAGCTTCACAGGCACATGGAGGTATCTGACTTCCTGGGTTCCTCTTCAGGCCCTACCCTCAGCAGACACTGAATTTGTGGTGTTTTGTTTTCTTCTTACCCTCCCTTTTTAAAAGGCCCATAAGATAGAGTGCCACCACATGAAAGCATCTGTTCATTGCAAGGTTTATCTGGCATCAGCAAAGGGCAAAGATTTTCCCAATGCCCAAGGGAAGTGCATGCCCAGTTGGCACTCCTTTTAAATGGAAATGGCAGATTAATTTAATTCCTTTAGTAGTCTTGAGAAATCTCAGCCTATTTGATTAAAAGCCTGCTGTGGCCCCATCCTACTCTGGCCTCTCTGGTGAAATCCCAAAAGCTGGGGGATGCTCAGTGGCAATGGTAAGCAACTGCCATATCCCTCACACCAAGAGCAGGGCTGGCCCCATGCAGCTCTCAATTTTGGCTGGAAAACCACACAGCCATCTGGGGAACACTGTGATTCAATGCTCCCCCACAGAAACCTTGGTCTCTGACCAAGGACAGATGCAAAAAAACAACTTGCCCTCCTCGAGGGTCAGCCCACACCACCCCAGCATGTACAGCTGCAACAGAGAGTGTGATGTAAAAACCTCTATTCTCCCCGGGGATGAACAGGCCAAGCACCACTTTGTGGTGCCCAGCCCCTTCACCAAGTTTTCAAAATAGGAATTAAGAGTGCTTCCTTCGTGCTAAAAACATGCCCACACCACTTTCAGCACCTGCTCTTCTCTTCCCTCATCATCTCCCTGGGCTGGTAAAGAGAATGGCTATGAACTGGGAATGATGTACTCATCTCCCATTGCACTTATTAGCTGTTGCCTGGCAAAACTCTCTGCAGAGACTGTTTTAAGCTACATGTTCTGCATCATCTTGCCTTAAAAGAAAGCAGGACACGTATATCCCTTTACAGGGCTGGGGAGAGCACTCTCCAGGCAGAAATTATCCAAGAAAGGGGCTGGTTTTACATCTTGGGAAGTATCTAGTTCTGGTCCACAATGTAGCAACACAAGATGGAGAATCACTGCACAAAACCCTGCCATGCCTCCATGTTCACACAACCCTAACAGTTTCAGGTGGGAGAGTTACTCAAGAAGAAACACCAAGACACCCCTCATGGCTATTTTTGCTCCAAGTCAGGTTTTAAAACATTTAGCTTTCTGCAACACAGACTCCAGGGGACCACACAAACAATAACCCCCCCAAAGGCCCATTTCCCACACACTTAATTGTTTGCTATTGTTCAGACTTGAAAGCTCTGTGCAAAATCCCACCTTACTTCCACCTGCCCTCTCCCTGGAGCAGCCTGTGAGGAGAGAAATGGATATCCTTTCCTGACCACTGCAGAGTTACCCCAAAACAATCACAGAAAGGTAGAAAATAGGGTTTTCCATCATTTAAATGTTTCCTCTTTATCATGAACACCAGCCAGTTTCTAAAGATAAGCTGCTCCCGTAACATGGCAGAATCCAGGCAGAGTGCAAGCAACTGCCGAGGCATCAGCGTTTGCTTCCAGCTCTCTCGTGGAGAAGGTGTCTGTGTGGCACACGGCTGCCCAGCTCCTGGCAGCCACCTCCCCCAGGGGAGAGCTGGTATGTCCATGCTTGTGGAGCTTCTGCCAAAAGGAAGGGGAAAGTTTGAGGGAAAGAGACTCAACAGGAAGCAGAAAGCCCTCAGGGCTGCCACAGGGAGCTCCCTTATCCTGGTGCAATCCTCTTGCACATTGCATGGAGCGAATTCTGGTGTTCTCAGCTCTCTTTCCCTGGGGGGGACACGGTATCCAACCCTCTCAGCTTCAGATCCTTTTCATTTTCCTCCACACTGACAAATTAGAAAACAACCTGATGTACTCCTATTCCTCACTTGGATTCCAGTCTCAGACTTGCTGTACCGCTTTACAAGATTTGTGGAAAAGACCCCAGCCTAGTCTAGCTCATGGCTCCAGTGGAGGCAGAAACCCCTCTGGAGACATATGCAATATCAAAAACTAACACACAGCTCAATGAGCTTCCAGAACCAACACAGCTTCGAACTCTGTGGTAACCTTAAACTCATTAACAACACTCCCTGCAGTAACAGCTCTGTGCCACAAAGCCAGTTCAAAATGCCTTTACAGTAGCTAATAATAAACCCTTTTCCAGGGCTTGAAACTGAAAATCAAATGAAAAAAAACCTCAACCACCAACCCACTAAACCCTCAAACTTAATATCTACTGCGTAAAATGCTTTTTAGAAATGCCCATCCTCTGCCCTCCAGTAAATTCTGTCTTACTTGGGGTCAATCTGCTGATCACCCCTCATTTATTTCAGAAGCAGATCTGAAGTAACATTTCTAAGAAAAATAGCTCCAGAATTAAGCAGGGTCAAAATTTAGAACCAAAGCCAGAGCAAGTCTCTGCCTGCATGCAGCTCACTCCCCTGCACACATTTAATAGCCCTATTTGCAGTGCTGGCAGAGTGCTCCAACCTCCTTTAACTCTGACTTCTCCTATGCCCTCTTTGCCTACATTACAAAATCCCCTTTTCCCCCACTCCTCTAAAACCACTCATCATTCCTATCGAGACACATCACTGGATAAGAGCATTTCAAATGCATTTAACTAATCCAGCTTTGAACTCTACACCCCCTACACCCATGCTGGCAGCACATTGCTCAGCGATTTTTCCACTGGAACTGAGTACCCCAATTACTGTCTCCAGTCTCACATACTTTCCAGGCAGTCAGTAAAAAAGATGCCATCCCAACCATCTTGTCCTTACCCATGATGGTCACATCATACTCGATCTGGAAGAGTGCCTCCTGGCTGCACTGCCGCAGGATGTTGAGGGCGTCAGCGTGGGTCATGCTGTGCAGAGGGATCCCATCAACGCTCAGCAGCCTGTCCCCAATTTTCAGGGACCCTTCCCTGTAAGAAGCCACAGGCAAAATTATTTTTTTTTTTTATATGTATTTATTTATATTTAGATATATAATCTATATATGTTTATATATTTATCTATATTTCTACAGATAAATTAGCTATATATCTATATAAACAATATATAAATACATAAGTATATATTTTTTGTGTGTGTACACACATGTATGTGCATATGTATACATATATATATATACACACACATATTAAAAGTCAGTTACTCTCATCCTGTAGGAATTGAATACTCATTGGGACAATAGTCTGGTTTATTTATAGTACAAGGCCCATCATACTAAATTATGAGCATGAGTGTAGATAGACTGGCTCCTGCTTTCCAAAATAGCATCAGCGATTCATCTGCACGGGGCTAATGAAGTGGCTGCCTCTGGAAGAGGAGTTTCTGCTTATAACTATAACATCTACACATGAGTCAGCCTGTGAGCACCGGGTCCTTCCACCCCACATTCCACAGGCCCCACACCACCTCTGTCATTCCACACCACCAGCACGAGAAGCCTTGGGGAGGCATCAGCAAGGAGGCCAAGAATGACACACATCCGAGAGCAGGGTGAGAGCTGCAAGTCTGTCTTGTGAGAGCACGTGCCGGAGGTGTGACACGAGCAGTACCTGTCTGCTGGGCCACCCGGCCTCACGTAGGTGAGCACCAGCGGTCTGGACTTGTGCCAGTCTTCATGAGCTCCCCCTGGAATCAAACCGGGAAAGCCAAAAGTCACGGGAGGTTTAAAAGTCTGAATGAGAGTGCTGAGAAAGAAGGGACATTTATCACACAACAGCTGACACAGCCTGAAAGCAAAACGACTGCCCTGGATCAGACAGCTGGCAGTCCTTGAAGGCTGCAATGGATTCTCTCCAGGATATGCTTTTATTGCTCAGCTGAAGTTTATGACATTCACTGTCTTATTTTCCCACTTCCCAAATCACCTCTGCCAGTGCTTGTCCCCTCTGCTTTTCTTTGGAGAAGCTACTAACCTCTCAGAACAAAGCCAAAGCTGTTGCCTTCCTTGTAGAGGGAAACTTCTATGGTCTTGGGAATAATGCCAGCACTGCTTTCTGGCACTAGAGGAAGAGAGAAAGACCCAGTTACCCCCAGATAAACCTTTTCCAACCATCCTGCAAAATGTATCAGAACTCCTCCAAACATCATTGAAATGAAAGTCCAGCACAAAGCCCATACTGTATCTTGCCTATTTGGAGCCAAAAAGAGTCCAACCCAGACACATGAACCTTCATCAGAGCCAACCATCATGTTTTAGGGTGATTTCACCAGTTCAGTGCAGTGCATCTCTCCTCAAATTTGTCTTGGTAAATACTCTGACATTCAAGTAAAACCATCTCGTTTATCAACTGGCTTTAATATGTTCAGCTTTTCTTAAAAGCTTCTGCCACAGATAGAAACTTATTAAAAAAAAACCCAGCAGCAGCATAAGGAATCAAGTCACTGGCTGACCTTAAAGAAAATGAAAATCCCAAATCCTCAGTGGAAAAGGTTGGGTTTTTTTCCCTTACCTCTCATATTTTGGATTTAAAAAAGATTAAGTGAATCTTTAAACTGATCCCAGGGGCAATTCAGTAATTTTATGTTAAATACATAGTACTATTTGTACAAAATACAAAATGTACAAAAGTAAAGAGAAAAAGAAAGAAACTGTTTCTAACCCTTGCCATCCTCTGCTATTTGATGATTTATTGCACTACTGCAGGGAATACGGGACAATTTCCCAGTCTTCTCCATCCAGAACTGCATATGGCATTTCAGCCTGGTCCACTCTGAAAATTCCTAATCTTCAAACCAAGTACCATGAATGGCCACAAGGATAATCAGGAAAAAAAAAAAAAAAGACTAAGAAACTTGACTTCAACCTGGCAAACTGGAGCTGAATGCTGCCCTAGGCACATCCACACTGGCATTTCCCTTGGCTCAGGAGGGGCTTTTTGAAGTGAATCTCCCTTCCATCCTCACTGCCAAGGACCCTGAGGGCTTGCAACCTGCACTCAAATTAGGGTTAAACCAGTCCTTAAGCTAACCCAAAAGACATGGAGTGGAGGCATGGTACCACCCTACAGGCAGACAGCCCTGGGGATCAGGCTACAGCAAGGCCAAATAAACCTCCAAAACACTGTCCCCACTTTGCTCCTGCTGCGGTGCAGACAGCTAACAGGGACACAGCCCAGAAATACTCCAGAAGGGAAAAACTCAGGGCACAGGAAGGTTCACAGATAAGGGGTGATACTCAAATACCAAGAACAGGGTATAAAGCATCCACAAATGAGTTCAGAAACCATCCAATTTCTGTCCTAAGCATCCACACGTGAAGTGCTGCAACAGCCTTTCCTAAGATCAGCAGGAGCAGGGAAACCTAAGCTAGCGTTAATCCGGGACTTGGTTTATTTATGAAAGAGAATGATACGACACAGTGGCCTGAAAACTGGACTTGGACTTGGAAGATCTCTTCCACAGAAGGAGATTACAAAGTGGGGAGAAAAATTCAAACCAACAAGCATGAGCTATTGAATTGCACTGTATTTCTGCTCTTTGCCCAGGGAAAGAGAGAGAGAGAGAGGCGAGTACACACAGCAATAACAAACCCTCACAGCAGATAAAAGCCCACAATGAATTGGAACCAGGCAATAATTGACAATTCCCTGTATTTTGCAGTGCTTCTTTGTTTGGATCGTTCATAAACAGCCCCAATAATGTCACTGGAGAGAAGTCGGTATCTCAGTGTGCTCTTCCTGCTCGTTCAGAGCAGAGGACATTTCACGTCGCTGCTATTGATTGAGCCATGTGGCACTGGTACTGCTCCTCAGCTGGGAAGTACAGCTTATCAGATCCCTGACAGCCAGGCTCACAGACACAGAAAAAGGTTAAGAGTGGTCATGCCTAGGGAGCATGAGAACATGGAAAACTTGAGCCACAGTTGGCTTTAGCAGGGTTGTATGCAAAAGCTCACTAACATTTACAGCAGAACAGAGGGGAATGATGGATAGAGATTCAACTAATCCAGATTAGATTTTTCTCTTTTTTGGGCTTTACATATTCATTTATATCTTGAATACTTTTCATATAAAGGCAGCAGCTAGAGCAAAGCTATGAAGTGTAAGATAGCTTCCTATCTGGGGCAAAATGTTTAGATTTCATTAGTTTTGTTTTTCCTGTCATCTTATTTTTAGTTGTTCTATTTCTTCTGCCCAATCATCCTCTGATTGATTTGGGTAATGGAATGACTAATAACTGGGGAGATTGTTTTCACAGTGGAAAGACTGTGATGAGAAATTGTATCGAGGAATTTGTTTTAATCAGAAATCTCAATCATCAAAACGAATGAGGGCAAGAGCACACAGTCTCCCACATCAGGACACAAGTCCACTGAGTTGGGCTTGGCAGCTCCTGCCAGGGCCCCTTAGCTGGAGAGCAGATTGCTTCAGCTTCCCTTCTGAAAACACATAACACTTCAAAGCATCCTGAGGACTAACAACACTTGCCACAGTTCTGAAAAGAGCATCTGGCAATACATGTTTAAGACTGAATAAAACCTCCCGTAGCCACGCTCCAAAAGGGAAAAAGAAAAACAAGCTGAAGCAGCATCAGGAGGCAGATTGGTCTGTGCTACCAAGTCACTCCGAGGCAAGACAGACCTAATCAGCCATCCCCTGCCGGTGTGCATGAACAGGCACCCACTGTGCTGGAAAAAGCGCTCTGCTCCGACCGCACACAGCTCTGCAGCACCCGCCGCCGCGCTGAGAGCAGATGAAGGCAACGTCAAAATGCCCCTGGACACTGCCTTGGCCATGGCAGCCAATGCACGAGCAAGTCCATCTGCACCCCGAGACAAAAAGCAGCCAGGGAGAGAGAGCAGTGTTATGAGGGAGGAACCCACCGGCTGGCGGAAGCTCATACTCTACTTCCAGCACTACCCTTTCGCCCACGTTTTTCAGCAGGCTTATGATCTCATCATGCCGCAGCTTGGTCAGGTTAATGCCATTCACTGACTTGATGTAATCCCCGACGTTCAGCTGGTCGCTTCTGCAAAGAAATAAAAAGCAAAAAAAAGCAGTGGTAGCACAAAGTCTCTGCTACATCCAGCCTGGGCACGGCTGGCTGGTAACCGGAGGAGTTTTTGAACAAGCCACCAATGCTGGGCTGATCTCAGCTGTCTGCTGTCTGATTGCATGTGTCTGCTATCACAGGGAAGTGCTAAAATTGAAGCCATCTATCTTTCCTGGTGGCAAGTGTTCAGATCTGTACATATAGCAACAATCGCAGCGTACGCGTTCACAACCTCTCTTTTGTTGCTCAGTTCCCATTCATGTAGAGCAATTAGTCAAAGAAAAGCGCACCAAGAGCTGTCTGAAGAAAAAAATCCAGCAGGGAAAAAGAAAACTTCTTTCCTTTTGCCTGTTTTCTGCAAAACTGTTCGAATACTCCTTCCCTTTCTCTGCTTCTTGGAACCTCTCTTTGCCCATTCCTTTTCTGAGCCAATAACGTTACTTACAGATTCAGTATTCAGAGCAGATACAATATTAAACCACTTAGCTTGATCAAGATGTATTGTACCATGCAGCTCTCCTGACAAGGCTGCCTAATTTCACAGAATCCCTAATATCCCTACACAAAATTTCAGAGCTAATTGCACAGAGCATAGGAAATAACTCAAAATAGAAGACGTTCTACTTACTGAAGTAACAACTTTGCATTCTGGGGCACTTGAAAAAAGGGAGTTGGGTGCCAACAACCTTAATTATAACTCTATTCATTCAGTAGTTGGAACATGCAACTATTCATCTCCAGTTCTGCTGTGCTCTCTGCACCCATTTCCATTTCTCACCTTGCAGCCAGTCCTCCTGGCCTCAGATTGGAGACTCTTGGCTTTCCATCTTTGTCTGTACCACCTGAAATGGTTAACCCAAGGGTGCTTCCTTCCTTCTTAATCAGCTCCACGATGGTGACCCCTCTGAACTCCTCTGAAAGATCAGGAATAAAGACAAACATCTCAGTGGAAGGCACATTCCTCCCAGTCCCAAGGACATCTTTTTCCTAGAGGTGGTGGGAAAGAAGACCTGGGATGATTTGTACAAGCATGAAGAGAAAGCATCAGTCTATTTAAAATTAAGTTGTGAAACAGAAGTGTGTCCTGGTAGATCCACAGAAGTGTTTGCATGCAGGGCTGGCAGGCAGGACCAAGGAAGATAAGGCAGAGGAATGAGGGCTTGTGAGAGAATAAAAACCTTGTGTTTCAAGGTGCTGAAGGCAGTGGAAGAAATCAGAACCAGGATTATGGGATCTCAGCAATGGTCTAGGGAGATCACCGCAGGGAATTATGCTTAATATGGAGTGGGGAGGGTGCTAACAGGGCTACATGTCAGGCAGTCACAGTTACATGCTAGGAAGATGCTGTGGACCTGCAGTAGCTGCCTGGATGGACAGAACAGGGTGGATCCTAAAATACTGCGATTAAAAAAATATCTTGAGACATCAATACAGTTGGGAGATAAAGAACATAATGTGAAGAGGGGTAGGATCCTGCAATCATTACGGGAAGGAGGGGGAGACATGACCTGCATTCATTCACAGCAGTTTGCCCATCCATCTGCACCTGGTCCAAGTCACACTCCCTATTACCCACCTCATCTACAGCTGGCATTGAAGACAAGTCACTTTTATGTGACTGGTTCCACATGCACTGCCTGCCATAATACATATGTCCAAGTTTAGGGGGTTAACACCCCCCACCTGCTGCAGCAGTACTGCTCTCTGTGTGCTGCAGGCAGTGTATATTTTACCTTGCTCTAGTCCAAGACAACATTCCTGTCTGTCCAGCACCTACATATAAGCCCAATCTGGTATCAGTTTTGATCCCATAACAGCTCATGTCTGGATTTTACAAAAACAGGGTCCCTAAACTATTCCATCTTCTGGATTTGGCACAGACAAGGGCAGTAAGTTAGCAGGAGAGCCAGCTCTGGCCCAAGGAAAGACCAAGAGCTCTGTAGACTTGGCAAAAGGCAGCTCTGTATTACTCCATATGACAGACCTCACACTCTTTGCTCAAAGGGTGACTAGCCCTGGGGCAAATAGGACAACTTCCACACCTTGCCACCTTCCACATCTTAGAGCCTCCACTAAGAAGCTTTTACACAATTTGTCTACAATGTGATCCATCCATCTCTACTGTCTCCCACAATTTTACAGGAGGAAACCAGTCACCTTCACACAGGGCACCTTTCTCCAAGGCTGTGCAGGAGAAGGTGATGATGGGCATTGGCAGCACATGACAAACAGCTGTCCCACAGATGTGGACTAAAATCCACGCTGCAAATGGCCCAGGAGCTTGTTTGCACAGCAAACCTCACCAGGCTTGGATGAGATGCTGTTTGGTGAGGGAACATTTGAAACCTCTCGCACACTGTGATTTCCAGAGCAAGGCAGGGCCCCTTAAATAACATATTGACAAAGAAGATCCATGCTGGTGCAGGGCTCTCTCCCTCCATCCAAAACACAGCCTCGTTTGGCACTGTGGTGCCTCATCACTAGCACTTTGCTCCTCTGTAAAGTCACCATGACACCAGAAATTGCACCTCAGTTAGAGTCCTGTCATGTACTACCTGTTTTGTAAAGCACTTCCAAGAATAATTTGTGCACTTGATAATGTGAGTAGGGAACCTCTTTGCAATCTAGCGCCAGTCTGGCAGGCGCTTAGGCCCTGCTGGGCACCCATTTAACGTGGCACTGGCAGCTCGTTGTAAAAATGTCAGGTCCATAATACTTCTGCTCTTTAAACTCAGGTTTTGATCCCCTGCCAACCGCAGTAACTTAGTTTTTAATTCACCAACCCAGGATCCCAGGGGCTGCCAGAAACTTTGTTGGGGCTCCCCACCATGCTGGAAGGAACACCATCCGGCACTATCCTGCAAATTTCCTCTTGACTACAGACACGACTGATCAACACAGATGGTGCTGCAAGGGGAGATTATTAGCTCTTCAATAGGGTTTAATTTCGATCCTTGATAAGTGTTTAAAATGAGAACTCCCAGAGTGCAATTACCCACTGTGATGGGTTCAAGGAGAAATCACTGCTTCAAAAAAAGGGAAGTCCCTGAGATCAATGGATCAAAGTAAAGCAATAAGGGATTTTGACTAATGCCTCTATAAATCTACTGCCACTGTCACAGACACACACAGATGTAAAAGTGAGCTGGTTATGGAGGATCTCGTCCTTCAGGACACAGTCTTTGAGTGCCATATAAGAGTAGTCTTGGATTTCTTCTGTTGCTTGGATTTTGCTGCTCAAAGGATCCCAGGGCAGAAAGAGCACACCTGAATTTTGCCCTCCCCATTGAGATGCCTCAAGCTGAGGTCATTGGACATACTGGCTCTTGTGAGCCTCTCCCCATCAGAGCTGTGGTACAGCAGTATTATGTTGCAGAAGCCCCAGAAGACACAGAATATCCCCTAGAACAACTGCTGAAAGATGAAGCAATAGCAAAAGGGCCTCATCCTCTGCAACACACTAAACCAAACCTTGACTGGATCATTAAAAGTCAGAAGTCAAAATCAAGACCTTGGCTTTCCTAAGGAAGGAAATGAGTTGTTCAGAGCAGCCCATCCAGACCTGCTGGCAGACAAAGTTCAGCACCACCAGAGGCAAAATATTATCACTTCACTTCATTTTCAGCCCCCAGAGGTGTTTCTGCATGGGAAGGTTTAGCTCACACAAAAATTTGCTGTGGCTGACTAAATATCCAAACAAACTTAGTCCCACACGGGAAATACAAAGCTTGGCAGATACTCCAAGTCACCCAACAAGCTCAGCTATGGCAGCGCTTCTTCCCTCTCTCCTTTACTGCTGTTTTCTTCTCTGTGGGTGTCAGTCCAGCGCAGGAATCAGTCCTTTCTTGTCTCCCTGTAGCCACTATCAAGGGCTTCACACGAGACAGGGGTTGCACCAGTAACATACCACTCACTGAGACCAGTTACTACCATCCATTTTTGCCCTCCAGGAAAAAGCCTTGCTGATAGATGCACCAAAACTAGTGTTTGGAGGGGTTTACCCATTCTAGGGGTATCCAGGTAAAGTGTAATGGATGCCACAATGTTTTAGGGCAGAAGCTGATCCCCTCCTTTACCTGGGATGCTTTGCCTCCTGGAGACCAGGGCTGCGTCCATCCCACCAGAGTCCTTGCTCCCCTTCGAGTAAGGGCCATCGTCTGTGAGCAGAGCAAACACAGAAGCTGAAATTAGTACCAAAAGCCACAAACAACTGAACCACAGCACTTTAAAAAGTTGTCCTGGTGACACTGGGATTGGGATCACATCTGTATCACAGACTTCAGGCAAGGAAAAACAACACCCAGCCCCAGCTTTGCACTGCACCATGTGGGCTATCCCATCTTATAGAGAGGGAGGGAAGGAAACAAGAAGGCAATAACATTATCTGATTTATTCTTCTTGGAACTAATCCGTTAGGAGAGAACAAAATTCCCTTACTCCTGCAATTATGTGGAAGAGCTGAGGACAGAGAAAGCTGTGGCATTAGTCTCAAGTTTTAAGCCTGTCATTATGCTTGTGAAGAAACTTATAGTCTTTGGAAATGGAGTTATACATCAGGACACTAACGGGGCACTAAATCACTATACTTGAATGAAATTGCCTATTCTTATAGATCCCATTATTTCAAAGTCACATTTTCCTGCTGCTGTTCCAGCCTTTGTACAACATAGAGAGCACCTTCTCTTAAGTGATTAAAAAAAAAAAAAAGCCAAAGAGAGAATAGTATTATGCACTGTAAATGCATCACCCAGCATAAGCTGAAATTTAAAGAATCTAAATATCTTTATATTCTCCTACTGGAACACTCCTACAGAGTTATCACAGAGCTTATTTGCAGAGATCTACAGATGTCATTGCCATCCACCTAAAAATGTCTATTTTTATGGTATTTCCTAAAAAGCCGGTGCTTTTTCAATCAAGAATTTCCAGTAATCATGTAGTATCAAATAACTCCCATTCTCAGTGACCACATTCTTGGATTGCCATTCCAAATTTTTCAATAGCTGTGAAGGTTTAGAAGCTGTACATGACAGTATAAATATGGGTTACTGAAAGCCTTATCCATTTATTCGTGTCCACAGCCCTTAAGTTATATTTAAGTTACAGAGAAGTTTTTTGTCTGGCTCTATACAAAGTGAATGACTTTTGTTCAGCCCCATTCCAGGGGTGTGTACAGAGAGGAGCCAAACCAAATGTTCAGTTGCTGGCAGCCCATTTCCCCCACAAACAGAAAATGATATTGTAAACTGAATCACATGCTCAAGCCCAAGGGCTTAAACACTTTTTAAAAGTAAAATGAAATAAGCTTCCACCTAAAGTAATTAAGAAAAAAAATAACAGAAAAAAATATCCAGTGTTAATTCTTGTTGCCCCAGCTGAAGTAACTTCACAAGTTGATAAAACTCAGTGAAAAGTTTTGGCTTGGTCAACTCTGCACTTTCAAGCATAAAAAGCTGAAAAATAAACAGTATTTAGTTTTTCAGCCCAAATTTTGCAGCCCACAGAAGGACAATGTAGATATCCAGGCCCTGGACTCTCTTTGTGTGTCACTTTGAACGTTTTTTTCATCACCACTAAACTGAAGCTTTCTAATGAAGTAAGAAGTAGCACTTGGCCTGGAGCATCACCAAACTATGCCAAACCACTTCTGCCAAAACACTTTAACTTTGGTACCCAGACATTCAGACCTCTGTGAAACAGGGGAACAAAGCTGTGCTTTTCGAAAAAAAAAAAAAAAAGAGGAAGAACAGGTAGGGTAAAACAGCACTGTCCTGACCATGGAGATCTTGCAGCATTACTCAAAGCTGACAGTGAAAGCAGCAGGTGAGTTACAGCAAGCACCAAGGTGGGCCACTGATTTCAGACAGGTGCTGGTACAGCCTGGAATCATTCAGAGAGCAGAAGGCTTGAACATGAAATTTGCATTTTTAATAGCAATGGCTCTTTGGGTGATGGGGAGGCCAGGGTCAGGGTTAATCTGGGCTTAATGACTCTGGAAAGAAGTTTAATTTAGTTGGGACAGTTTAGCTCCAGCATCCAATTAAAAAAAAAAAAAAAACTATGCCAGCTTTTCTTCAGTAGCTGTTTGATAGTGTTACAAATTCAGAGCTTTCGATTTCTGCCACCATTAGCCATGTTCACCTTATTTTCTCTGCCCAGAAGATTTTTCCTAATATCTTGCCTTACCTTCTCTCTGTCATCCCACCCCTTGCAGAACTGCAGAGTCAGATTAACACAGATAGCTTGGGAGTATAAAGCAAGGTGGCATTTCCTGGGGAGGAGCAGGACAATGTTGATCTAACTGCTCCCTGCCCACATCGCTCAGCCCAACAGCTACAACCTCCCTTTATTTCTTTCCCAAATGCAACAGCACATTGGAAGAGGAACCCCAAACTCAAGATGCCCAGCACGAAGCTGCTTTTTCAGCACTGGAGGTAATTCTGCAAATGGCACCTGCAATACACTCTGAGACATCCTGGGCTGGAGCCTCTCAATGGCTCTGGAGCATCAGTGTGCCTTCGGTCCCACTGGACACTGCATTGGTGAGGACACCCCCGAGTGCAGCTGCCTTCCCCCTGAGAGCACTGCTGACAGCTCTGACCCCAGCTAACACGCTCAAGGCAGCAACGTTCTGCTGCGGATGGGATCCCTGCATTCCTGGGAAACCACGCAAGATGGTTCAAAGCCAGCTCCATAATCTGCTGGCAAACTAAAGCAGTGAACCATCTGTTTCACATAAACACACCGCCCTGGACCAGACAGCCACCAGCACCCTTCTGTGCTTCATTTCCCCATCACAACCCCAATCAGTGTTGATATGAAACCCCAGTTCGCTACTGGTTTCCCTCCCTACCCCAACAGCTGTTGACAAACATGCCTCGGCTTCCCGTTCAGCAAGCAACCGGGTTGCCTGTGCATTAACAACAACTTTCACCACCAGCCAAGTGGTCAAGAGCAGTGACCCGAGCTACAGCCGCTGCCGGCAATTAGCAGCTCCCCGCCCTGCCCCGTCCCACGCTGCTCCGCTGACAGCCCCGTCAGCCGGCAAGTAATTAGCACCACAGCTCCCCTTCCTCTATTGCTTCTCCCTTCCAGACTCAGTTGATTATGTGAAAAATGTTTGGTTTTTTTCACTCATTATCTGGCTAAAGTGTTTGAACAGGAAAGGGAGCTGCCACACGCCGCCTGCCGAAATGGGAATTGGCATTTGCTTGCATGAGCATCCCCTGCCGCGCGGCGCTTTGTTCATTTGCAGCCGATTTCCTGCTCTGCCACTCAAGCTGGTATTAATGGAGTCACTGTTTTATGAGCTTTTTTTTTTTTTTTGTGGTAGGGGTTACTTTGTTGGGTTTTTTTCTTTTTCAAGGAACTCCTTCTCTTTGTGCTCTCAGTTATTTCTCCTGCCTAGCACAGCATCAGTTGGGAGGTGAGGCTGGTAACCAGCCTGATTGCTCAGTCGGCCCAAATCGCAGCACCAGCCCAAGCACTGAAAATTCATGAATCTATTTACTCCCTAAAATTGGGAAAATAACTCTTTTTTTTAACCCTGCACAGGTTCTTTTTGCAAGCAATCAGTGCTGGAGCTATTAGAGTTGTATTTTTCAGGCTTTTTCTCTCACACCAAGAGAGTTGAAAATTTTCCAAAGAAAAGATTGTGTAATTGATGGTTTTGAAGTAGCAATGTTAATGCTGGCTCTAGGTCTTTCAGAAAAGCTCACCAAGGATATAAGACCCTCAATAAAACCGAGAGTGCACCCCTTTCCATATACTGATCCCATGGGAATCTGTGACAACACAGAAAAGTTCCCGTAAGTCTTTGACAACAGTTTTTGCTATTTCAGTGGCTTACTAACACCAGGGAGAGAAGAGCTCCCAAGTCCCTACACCTTCACACAGGGTTCTGAGCTCTCCTCCCCTGCAACAGCAGTGCCATACAGTAGTACATATGCTGCACAGTGATAATAAAGAAGAGATAATCCCCATCTCCTTCCCCAGAAACAACTTGGAAAGATGAAGGAGTAGGAAAAATCTCCTTGCTTTAACTGAAGTATCAGGGCCAGGAAGAAAGGAAGGTCAGGACAAACTCCACTATCTCTGTGAGCACAGGAACCAGTATCTCCTGACATCAGTTAGGTGTCAAGCCAAACTCTGTTAAAAGGGGGAAAAAAAGCTTCTTCTGAAAGAGCACTGATTTAGGAGTTAATTATCCCTGCCTGTAGGGGAAAATAGGAAGGTTTTTTTTTTATTTAGAAGAGTTATTAGTCTATGTTATTAGCAGAGATCACCTCTTAATGAAAATCAGCATTGTCTAAATAAGATTCTGTGGCAATTAGGCTTGAAGTCTGCAAGTTGTTCAGATTCCTGGATCGCTTTAAGACAGTTCCCGCAGAGAAAGTGCATTAATCTTATGGGAAGACCAAGAGGTAAAACCTCCCATTTGTTTAATGGAAAAAAGACAGTTGGAGACAGTTATTTTGCTATAGGGTAATTGCACTCCTTGTTTAGAGAAATGAATACTAAACCAGCATTAAGAACCAAAAGCTTTTCGTGCTAAGGCAAGACAGTATTTTTCGCTAGAATAAAAGCATGAGGCTGGAAGCAGAAACTCAAATGACTAAAACTAAGTGTGATTTGGTCCATTTTGAGGAGAATTATTTTCGTAAGTCAAGGGAGGCATTTATCTGTAGTCAGGCAAAGAGCAGTCAGGGGTACATGAGCGTGGGTCAGGCAGCTAGTGATGATTCAAACTGTGGCCCTGGGAGCTAGTCTCCAAAGCCTGGGGTTTTAAAGATCTCTGAGTGCCTGAAGATGCAGACATGTACTTCAAAAACAGACTATAATCATCTAGCTGTATCTTTAGGCACCTAATCACCTTTAAAAAGTTAGATATTACTAGAAGGAGGGGAAGGGAAAAGTGATATATCCACTCATATCTGTTCTGAATCTCAGATTGGTGTTTAGCTCCCAAATGACACGGCCTGGCCAGGGGCTGGACCATCATCAGAGGACAGTGACACAACCCTTCCACCCCTCCCCAGGCTGGCACTGCACATGGCATCACACACGGAGGCATCTTATGCACCAGTAATGGATCTGGGTTTGATTGCAAGGCTGTACACAACCGACCCTCCAGCTCACTCCCCCCAGGGCAGTTTGG